AGCCCCATTCATACAGGAGGCTGAAAACCCCACAGCTGGGCTTTGTTTTGGGTCTGTGTTTTCTTCCAGTCCTGTATGTGCTCAAAGGTGGAGTCTATCCCCAGCACCAAGCCACCATCTGGAGGCAGTTATTCTGCATTTATGCTGCCAGGACAGAGCAAGTAACCTGGTCTGCAGTGGGAAGGTGGTTTTATTGTTGTCAGCCAGTTATACGGTGCCAGTGCTGACTCATGAACCTGACACCAGGGACAGCGTTAGGCTAAAAATCAATCCGTCCCCCGTTGTTCAACACTCCCTATATTCATCTGTAGTTCTGCTGTTCCTCAGCCTGTATGCTGCCCTTGGACCAGTGCCCAGGCCCCTTGTGAGCCATGGGAAGACGTCACCCAGAAATGTGAATTTCTGAACATTCAAAGGCTACACTGTTTATTCAGCCAATAGCTGCATCTCCGTGCTCTGCCCTGGCTTAATTTGAGCGTTGTGTTTCAAAGAACAGGGCCCAGTATCCCAGTACTGATACTTCCTGTTAACTGAGAAATTGGGATTAAAACCCAACTGCAACAATCCCTGGGGGTCTGGTTATTATTCCTTGCTGGGCCTCTGCCCTGCAGCTGAAGTTGTGTAAACTTTAAATTATGACATAGTGTACTGGAGCGATGGTGGGCAGAGGCACTGCAGCTGGACTGCACGTCCCTGCTGACAGTCAGCTGGCTAAAGCAAATATGTAACTGTACTGTAGCTATAGTGCAACACGTCGGAGGGGCACAGTATATAGGTAGGAATTATTTTTCCCTATGTATTGACAAATCAGTTCAGTTCATTCCTGGACCATTGAAACAGGACTTTTTCCAGTTATTTACTTATTGAGTGTTGACTCAAAATACTAAGCAAAATAACATTTTTTAAAAAAAAAGAAGCCCCAAATACACACAGCCAACTGTCCAGCCTTAGGATAAACATTACATAGAGCTAGCACAAACATTGAAGCAGTTACTTCAAAACAAACTACACAAGTGAATGTTTCTCCTCTAACGAGGCTATTTTTGCTGTTTGAAACTTGGCCTTGATTTCTTTTTTTTTTTTTTTTCCCAATTTCTCCTGCTTTTATGGCTGATTGAAACAATCTCCAGAAGTAATTAGGTAATTTAGAAGCTGAAGATCCCTTTGGATTTGGCCTTGGACAGCAAAAGCTTTTGAGAGATACTTTCAGCATCACATTATTTCCAATGTATTAATTTCTAACTACTGTACCTGCTAACTCTACCTGTAACTGCTCTGAGATGAAAGCAATGTCATAACTACTCATGTTTGATTCCGCCTGCAGCAAGTTTTCTGGTGATCCAGCTTCTCTGTGGATGTAACACACCAAATATTTTACAGCCCTGGTGCTCAGGGCGGACCTGGACTCCCTGCCTCTATCTGTTGGGTTTAAACTTTCCATGGCCAGGACAGTGGTTTGGAGCGGCGGAGCTGAGATTTCCATGGAGGTGCCGCTGCAGGACAAGACACTGGCTTTGCCAAGCAAATACGAGTCTTGAGAGAAGGTATCCCACCCCCCTGCACCCGGGGTGTACCCCCTTTTCCGCCCTCGCATCCCCCCGGCCTGCCATCGCTGGCAGCTTGTGGGGCGTCCCCATCCTTACCCTGCTCCAGGTCTTGCTGATCGTACCAGGGCTCCTCTTCCTCGCTCTGAAACTCCTCCATCCTGTCGGCGCTCAGCATTTAGCACCGGCGGCCCGGGGAGACGCGCAGCATCCGCCAACGGGGAACCCCGCCGCCGCCGAAAATGCGGAGCGGGATGCGGGGATGCGGGGATGCGGGGATGCGGGGATGCGGGGATGCGGGGATGCGGCCTCGGTGCCCCGGCCGGGGCGGGAGGGGGTGGCTCGACGTGGCACCCGGTGCCTCGTCGCTGCCCCGGCTCTGCCTGCCCGGGGGGGCGGCTTCCTCCTGCCCCCAGGGCCGGGGGAGGCTCCGGGGCGGGGGGGATGGAGCGGGGACGTGGCGGCCGGGGTTGGGGGCACGGCTTGCACAGGGCTGGGGATGCACAAAGGAAGGAAGAGGCCCGGCGCAGCCAGGCAGATCCTCTCTCCGCAGCTCGGTGGAGACCTCTAGCATGGAAATGCTGCAAGGAAACCGGGCGAGAGGGAAGGGGGAGGCGAGGCGAGACCGGCCTTCTCCTCCTTTTTCTCCTCCTCCTCCTCCTCTCCGCCCAGCCCTGCCGCGGGCAGCGGGGCGGGCGTGGGGCTGCAGGGAGCGGGGTTTGGGGTTGGTGAGGTGAGGGTGACCCGGGCTGAAAGGAGAAGGGAGCTGCCCCGCGGTCCCCCCCGCTGTGATGCCTCCGGCTGGGTCCCTGCACCCCCGGGGAGGGCAACCAGGAGCAGGGCTTGCTCCAGTGCTGGTCGGGGTGTCCTGGTTTTGCCATGGGCTGCTCTCGGTGTCTTTCAGCAAGTCTCTGGACCCCTCAGTGGGCATGCCAGTTCTTTTTCCTTCTGCCTTGGTGGGTTTGGATGGGCTGGTCTTCAAGGTGCAGGTGTTTCTAAGCTCTCTAGCTGGGGCTGTGAAAGGGGAAACCCCAACCAAACAGCTCCATAACATCACTTTAGTGTTGTGCCTTCTGCCTCTATGTTCTCCCTGTTTTGAACCCTGATGAGTGCTTCTGATGAAGGCTTCTCTCTTATTTTTGAGACAAACTCTTACATATTTCTGAAGGGTGTAAGGACATTAAAATTGAGGGAGACGAGGATTTGTAGAGTTCTGAGGAGGAAATGTGTTTGTTACATCCAAGTGAGTTCAGTAAAGGCTTGGGATTTTGGTACTTGCTTTTCAGTTTAAGGGAATAAGGGCTAGAGAAGGTGGCTTTTCTCCTACTTGCTAGTGTGGAGTTTGGTCTGAGGGGTTTATTTGTGCTTGGCAGCCCTGCTGTCCATCAGAGACTCTAAGGTCCCAATTAACTCATGTGACAGTGGGTTTAGATGACTTTTTTTTTTTTTTTCCTTTCTCTGTGATGGAGTTCCCTGGTTTTATACTTGATTGCATTACCTTGCAGTGGTGCCTACTGAAAAGGCAATATAAGATGTTTGCGCAAGAGCAGCAGACTGTGCATACAGAAAAGATGGGATCTGTGTCAGAAAACTCTGTCCAATCCAGCAGTGACAGGCAGCTGAGAGCTCCTGGTTGATTAAAGTGATGGCTAGTACTCAGCTCTCATGTACAGCAGCAGAGGAGATAAAGGACGAAATAAGAGAGAAATTGTAGGCAATTCCTCTCCCCTTCTCTCCTCACAAATCTCCCTATTATATCTACATACTCCCAAAGTTCATTGACTGCCTGGAAAATCTTTTGCCTTAATGCAATTGCAGACCAGAATCAAGGAGTCTCTTTTAACCTGACTTTTATAACTCAGCAATGTTAATCAAACACTTCTGGTATGTCTGAGAGAAAGCCATCTCGGACTGGTTCCTAGATCTTTTTCTAAGCAATTTTAATGTAGATCTGGGAAATAAATCTTAATTTTCTCATGCCTGTCGGTGCTGAAGAGGCATTTGGGCAATGTCTTTAATAACAGGCTTTAACTTTTGGTCAGCTCAGAAGTGGTCAGGCTGTTGGACTAGGTGATTGTTGCAGGTTTCTTCCAAGTGAGCTGTTCTGTTAATTGTGAAAAATAATTGCCTGTGAAAAGTATTCAGATCCTAACAAATACATTATTTTCATTTATCCGTATAGTGTAGCCATACCTGAGTGAGTGAGTGCTTGGATGAAAGGCTCTAGGCTGTTTGGCAGCAAAATCCAGGTGACGTGATTTTGTGAAAATATTTTTTTTTCCTGTAGGTTTTACAAGAACATCTTAGATCTGACCTGTCACTCGATATAATCAAACATTGGTGATTTCTGTACAGGTTATATGCCAACAAATGAGAATTCCCACAGTCTGCCCCAGCTGGGGAGTCAGCATATTGCTTTCCTTTGCAAAACGATTAAATTACTTCATTTCCTCTGAAGAAAGGAGGTTTGCAGAGCTGAGCATGTGAAATGTAACTCAGTGACGCCAAAGAGACCCGCTTGCAGTTTGTAGAGCTGCTCAGTGCAGAAAACAGTGACAATAGCTTCAAAGGTAATACTGAAGCACCTCAAACAGCTGCTTTGAGGTGTTCAGTGAGGGCCAGATCTTGAATTCCCAGTCCTCAGGGCTATAAAACATCCTTGCCTTGCAGGTGGGTAGAATTTCATGAGGATTAATTGGCCAGCACCTGCAACGAGCTTTTTATAAGGTGTTTGCCCAGGGTGCTTGTTATAAGCCTGCTTGCTCCTGGCTTCTTTCAACCCAGGACGAGGGAGAGGCTGGAGCCGGCTGTTCCCTTGGAATCCCGCTGCCCATCCCGACCGTCCAGGCTCGGGGCCAGGCTGCTGAGAGCAGCCGGGCTCTCCGGTGTTGGAGAGACAGAGCTGTCATGGGGCTTGTGCCTGAGAGCAGCTGAGCAAAGGGGCTTCAGGGCACAAGGGCTGCAGGCAGAGGGGAGGGAGAAGGGGGCAAAAAAGGGGGAGAAGGCAAAGGTCGGGGAAGAAGGGAAGGGGGCAAGATGGGGGGAGAAGGTAAACGTTGGGGAGGAAGAGAAGGGGGATATTGGGGGAGAAGGGGGCAAGATGAGAGGAGAAGGTAAAGGTTGGGGAAGAAGAGGGCTATCGGGGAAAGTGAAGGGCTGAGAAGGGGGAGGAAGCTGAGGCCAGAGGGGACAGTGAGGAAGGACTGGAGGAAGACAGTGAAATGAGGAAAGCTGTGCTCTGCCACGGGCACTGACCGAGAGGGGAGATAAGGGAGGGTTACAGGGGGAGCACAGCCATGGGGAGCGATGTGTGGGTGGGAAGGGGCGGCAGATGGAGATGCGAAAGGAGGGGAGGTTGAGGCAACGGGAGGAGGAGGAAGGTGCCGGCGGGGCGGGATGGAGGGCTGGCGGCGGGGCCGGGGAGGAGGAGCCGCGGCCGTGGGTGGAGGAAGGGATGCGGGAGGAGGGGTGGGAGAGCCGGGACCTGCGAGGCCGGGTTTGACAGGAGGGAGGCAGGCAGGGAGAGCCGCCGGCGCGGGGAAGGGGGATGGCGGCAGCGGCGGCCCGAGGAGGGGAGGTGGCATCGGCGGTGTGAGGGACGGCTCTGCCCGCTGCGGCCGGAGGCCGCCGCTCCGCCGAGCCGGGCCGCATCATGGGCAGCGCCGACTCCAAGCTCAACTTCAGGAAGGCGGTGATCCAGCTCACCACCAAGACCCAGGTGAGGGCCGCCATGTCGGGAGATGGGGTGGGGGGGGGCGCCATGTCGGGAGATGGGGGGGGGGGGGAGGGGGCGCCATGTCGGGCAGCAGGTGAGGTGAGGGGGGGGCGCCATGTCGGGCAGTGGGTGAGGTGGGGGGGGGGGGCGCCATGTCGGGCAGTGGGTGAGGTGGGGGGGGGCGCCATGTCGGGCAGTGGGTGAGGTGAGGGGGGAGCGCCATGCCGGGCAGTGGGTGAGGTGAGGGGGGGGCCGCCATGCCGGGCAGTGGGTGAGGTGAGGGGGGGGCCGCCATGTCGGGCAGTGGGTGAGGTGAGGGGGGGCCGCCATGTCGGGCAGCGGGTGAGGTGAGGGGGGGGCCGCCATGTCGGGCAGCGGGTGAGGTGAGGGGGGGGCGCCATGTCGGGCAGCGGGTGAGGTGAGGGGGGGGCGCCATGTTGGGCAGTGGGTGAGGTGAGGGGGGCCCGCCATGTCGGGAGCCCTCCGCTTGCCTTGAAGCGCGGTGTCCCCCGGCTGTGAGGGGCGGGTTGACAAGCCCCTCTCCCCGGCCCTCCCCGGAGACAGCCCCGGGGCTGAGGGGAGGGGGCGGACGGGTTGCTGCCCCCGCAGCCAGACCCTGGTGAAGGGGGCTGGCGCGGGTGCCCTGTGCGTGAGCCCAGGGCTGCTCGCTGCTGGGGCCCCGGGGGGGCTCGGGGAGGAGGTGACAACGCTGCCGGGGGCTTTCCGATGGCTGGCTCTGCTCCGGGCTGTGGCGATGAGGCCTTCCCTTGAGGCTGGGGAGCCGATGGAGGGGTCTGGGCAAGCTGGTGCCATCCGCCGAGTCGCTGGTCTGTGGAGGGGCACAAGTAATGCCGTAAGGCCGTTTTCTGCCTCGGGGCACTGGCCTGATCCTAGGGACAGCATCGGGTCTGGCAGGGCTGTGCCTGTGTCCCGGCACTCACCACCTCTGACATCTTGTGCTTTGCTAAACAGCGTCCTGTGGTAGGAGATGCTGCTGTCATAAGGGGTGTCCAGAGCTCCTAATGTGTTCAGTGGCAGGTTTACATCACCACAAGGTTTGCGGATACCCCCTTTTCTGTATCTTATTTCCCCTGAATAATTGGTGTGGAACCTTGCCCTGTTTTTGGGTAAGTCAATTGAAAGGGCTGCTGGCCAGCTGTGCTGTTGGGAGAGCTTTTTGTAGTAGCAGCTTCCATCTGTGACCTGTGAAATAATGATTCATTTCTCCAGGCTGTAGAGGAGAAGGAATTAAATGAAAGGAAGTCAGGACTCTGTATAGGGAGGGTGGTTGCCTAGAGGTCTGACAGATGTTGCACATGTCCTGGGAGCTAGCTTAGTTCTTAAGTTGAGAGCCCAGTAGTGGCAGCACACTGGCGGAAAATCAGTAGGCTGTCCTTCTGTCTAAGAAGCAGAGGGATTTTGTTGTGTTGAGAAATCGCATCTGAGGTTATTCTGAGTTACAATGGAGAATTGCTGTTACAATCCACCTTTGGCAGTGAGGGAGTGACAGCTGCTAAAAAAACTTGGGGGTGGTGGCAGAAAGATATTTAATGATGGGGAATGAATTCAGAAGAAAAGGGTGTGGATGCAAAGGGGTAAAGGGTAATATGAGAAAATCCATGAAAATTCAAGAGTTGAAGACTAGGACTGGGGAATGAATCACAGATAGTAAGTGTGGAAGAGCCTTTGAGAAACCATGTTTATACTTGCTAAAGCAACATCACTTCTATCTGCATTGCACAGGAGTGGCTTTTGTGAACATGTTCTTAAAAACCTCCAATTGTGTATATTCTACAACATCCCTAGGCAAACAGAGGAGTGGATGAATTAATGTTTTAAGGGATTCTTCCAGAGTATCTTCTGGATGCCAAATGGTTCAGAGTGCTTTCAGCTTTGGACTGACCTTCCTCCACTGGGAAACATGCTTATAAAGTGAGATTGGGGGGGTGAGGGAGATCAAGCCTATAGGGATCTTCTGAATCTGCTGTTCACAAAGAAAATCCTGTATGAGGCAATCTTTCACATCGCCAGCCAAGAAGAGTGTGCCCCTCCCCTGGTTTATTGACGTGTGTAATGAAAGAAGGTTCACTGGGGCCCTGAATAAAGGAAGGAGAAAAAGCTTCATTCTTGGTTGTATTAATTTCACATCTTTGTGGCCTAGGTGAGACTAACTGCCATGTGGAAAAAGGGTGGGGTGTTGGCACTCCTGTATTTACATACTGTAGAAGGGCACTGGTGTTTGCTTGTGCAGCATGCGTGACTGGACTCTCCTTGAGCCTTCCAAGCTCCTACCAGCAGCAAGTTCCATGTAACTTCCTAGTCTGTGAGACCCTGGGTACAAAACTGGGCTGCAATGATGGACAGAGTCAAATCCTTCAAAGTTATTAGCTCAAAATATGCTTTGCTTCCTCAGTGGCATGTTTTCTTTTTTTCAGCATTCTCCTCTGACATTAGGTAGCTGGACAAATAGATTTTCATCAAATCATCGGTAACATGAAACTGTGAGCTTAGTAATGCACTATGTGGTGTTTCCTAAGGCTCAGATGGAAGGAAGTGGTTGAGCAGAAAGCACTGCTCATGCACTGGTGGAGGATCAGAGTTGGCACTGACATTAAATTTTTCTTAAAAATAAATTCTTATAATCTCCAGGCTTTCGTTAATTAAAAAATAGGAGTGTTCCTGTATGAATATTAAAAAAAAAACAAAAAAAAATCTGTCGGGAACATAACACTTGAATGCATGTGGAGCACAGAACTTGAAAGTTAAACCAAGTCTGGACACAAATGTAATTGACTTAATTGATTTTGTAATTGCCAGAGAGAAACTCTGAAAGTGTAAGGGTATTAAAAAAGAAAAACCACTTCAGAACAATTTTAGTGATTAAAAAAGGGCAGTAGTACCAGAAAGGAGGAATTAGTTTATGCTACAGATATGTATTTATAATCACACATGGCAAAATGGGCTTTGGGATTTTTAAATGGTACACATATATTGGATTACACTGCACAACTTTAAATTGATAGGGTCCACCCTTTTAATAATAAACCAGGTGTGCTTTGTCATAGAGAATGTGTGAGTCCTCCCAAATTGCCCATAAAAATGCTGTCTACTTAACAGGTGAAGGGAAACATAGATTGTGAGTATGAAAACCAGTCAGTGGCAGAACAGGGACCTGAAGCTGGGAGTCTTAACTGCTGGGGAAACACACTTTCTTTTCTCAGCCATTTGGCAGTTAAATGGTTCCTGCAAGCAACAGACTGAAAGATAAGAAATTTTGATCTTGTGAACCAGCTTGTTAGATTTTAATGCTAACTATGCCTCTAATTTAAAGAGACAGGAAGGATCAAATAGGAGGGACAAACTCCAGGCCTTTCTTTGTCCCTGATGTGGAAATGCAGTAGTACAACAGGCTATTAATTTGAGCCTGATAAAAGTTCATCTTGTACTTAGAGAGGTTGGTTTCTGGTAGCCTGTTTCTGATAGTATTCAGGCTTGACTTGAGTGTCTTGAGTATCTCAGGTTGATCAAAAGCAAAATTGTTGTCTTAAAAGCAAAGCTGTAGCTAGCAGTTCACACAGCTGACTTCTGTCTTAGGCTTTCCCTGCCAGACTTCTACAAATCCTGTTTTCCCATGTCCTTTGCAGCACTGTCTCTGCTGTGGGAGCAGAGAACTGGCAGCAGACTTGTGTGGAGTCTCTCTTTGATTCTGCACTGTGCACTGCAAAGATCCTATAGAAAAATTTCCTATTGCTCTGAAATCTGTGTGGAGCTGCTGTCCTTGGCAGCAGGGGTGAAATCTTGCTAGTTATTAACATTTTGAGTAAGTCTGTTCTCAGACTTTCTTTTTGCACAGTGGTTCACAAACAGGTAGTACAAAGGTGTGTGAATTGCCTCAATCTAATCCACTGGCCCTGCAGGGTTGCCTGATCTAGAGCTCAGTCAAGCGCAACATGAATGGCTCTCCGGTAGTTACAGTCCACAGTTTTGCCTTATTTGGGGTGGAAAGGAGCACGCTGCTGTTACATACTATCTGAACTTGCATAGTACTGGCTAGAAACCCTGGTCAGGGATCAAGGATGTGGCTTGATGTCCATTCACAGGAAAAGGAGAGTCCCTGCCCCAAATGGCTCACTACCTTGGCTGGTGGGATGCTCAGCTGACATATTGACAAGAAGCAAAAAGAATACAGTGAGTGATACTAGTGAGTGCTTGCTCCCTTGATTCTCTGCTGATGGTTTGCAGCAGCCTTAGATCTGGTTTAAGGACAGTTCTCTTTAGGGTCCTACTGGAGGAATGGTTGGGAACAGGCACTTGATGTAAAGGTGTAAGTGTGAGAGCTCTTGTTTGGAAGGAGGGTGCCTGAGTTTGTGAGGGATTGTATTTGAAAGAGAAAGCAGAGGTGGTGCTCGCGTCACGCTGGGAACAGTAACGAATGGGGGGAGGCTGTGCCTTGGGACCTTTTCCTGTTTATAGGACATGGTCAGCTCCACTCTCTTTTCCTCTTTCCTGTGACGTACCTTGTTTGCCTGGGGATTGCCTGTTTAGGGCTGTGATTTTTTTTTTTTTTTTTTTTTTGTTTGGTTCAGTAACTGGCAAGATGCTTGCAAACTGAGCATCTTCCTTTTCTGACTCCTACAGCATGTGTGTGGTGTGCTTTAAAGAACCTGAAACTCAACATTTATAACTATTGGGAAATAAAGACTGGAGGTGTCCAGTAGGACTGGTTCCACCTTTGTGTGGCCAGCATGCAGGTGGGAGGTCTTTACACCTTGCCTAGGTGAACTGAAGGTGAAAGTCTCCCTCCTTGCTTACTCTGAGATGTCGCATTACCTCGGCTCTGCCCACTGCGTTCTCAGCGGCCATGCTGTGTTACAGTCATCACATCCCTTTGGTGTGGAGAGCTTGGTTCAGGCAGCAGTGTCGGTTAGCTCTCTAACTTCAGCAGCCTCTGTGATGGGGTGCGTGGGGCATCAGGAGCTTCTTTGCTCTCTAGATATGCAAGTTGTGTTTCCAGATTAGAGTGAAGCTGCTGATCCATCAATTCTTTCTGGCAATGATGAAGTTCTCATTCTCATTGCACCACTAGTGTGGAACTGGTTGTCTGCACCATGCTGGTGGAGCATCAGGCTCTTTCTTATCTGTGCTGCAGCTCCCTCCCCAAAAGAGGACAGGTCTGTGCTGATCTGGAGGATCTGAAGTGGCCCCAGCTCACAGCATTTCTGGTGAGAATTCAGCTTCTTATGAACTATTCTGGTTAAAGCACTGTCAAGGCTAGCTGCAGTGCTGTAGGATTTGTTACTGCAGCATGTGGAGTACCAATGCTTGTAACTAAATCTTGACATTTCCAAATGAAGATATCCATGACTGGGGAGCAAAATTGTTCTAGGTTTCTGTATTCCCTTCTCTGTGAGCTAGATAGAGGCTGTTGAGTGAGCTCAGCATGAGGAAATGGATATCTAGATCCCCAGAGGTGCTGTGTGCAGAATACAATCAGCTTAAAAGCATCCAGTAATGTTCTGTGAAAGAGATTAACATTATGTGGATCAAGTACCTTCATGATGCCAGACTGTTAATTAAAACGGGGCTGTGGGGATGTGAGTGACTCAGTACTGAATCCATGTCCCAGGATTGTACATGGGATACCATCTGTTGATGAGAAGCTGATTTGCTGCAGCTATTAAAAATTAAAGAAATGGTATTTTAGCATAATCTGCTTGCCAAGATGGCAGCCGTGACATTAATGTGGCTGCAGCATCCAGTGTTGCAGCTTGGGTTATTGCTGCTATGCTTCTCTACCTCCATGTAATTTTGGTTGGAGACAGTGTTCTTCAGTCTGTTTTAGCTGTTGTGTTACCATCTGTAAAATAGCAGCTGTGCTCAACCTTTGAGGAAGCCTTGGGCTAGTGGGAGGTAAAGGGATCAGTGTCTGCTGGAGGGAAATGGTTTTCTGCTTCCCCTCTAGATGAGAGTGAAGCCATTATTTATGCATGATCTCCAATTAGCAGCAATTGCTGCTCACTGTTGTTGGTGGGAGTGGCTGTGGCAGACAGCCAGTAGGTACATGTGGCAATTATACATGGGGCTGTGGTACGTGGTTTGAAAAGGGTTGCAGGAAGTGTAGAACGCTTTGTGCATTACATAGACTGGATTCCAATTACTTGACTCTTTTTGAGGAGTATAATTAGAGATGAGCTTTGCAAAATAGTTTTGCTTCCATTTAAGCATTTTATGCCCAGGTTACAGAGAGCACAGCTCCTTCACACACTCAGGAAGCTGAAATTCAGGCTGTAAACACTTGGCTGTTCCTACAGATCCCCTCTGAGGAGCTGTGATCTTGAACCTTTTGGAAAGAAGTTACTCTTCCCTTGGCAAGATGTTTGGTGGGAACTTGCTTTGGTAGCCAGGTGATAAAATGAAGAGGGTTTCAGTGCTAGAGCAGAGTTTAAGATGATACCTAAACACATGTGGGTTTTTTTTCTGGTTTTGTTTTTAAAGTCTGGAGAGTTGTTTGGACTGATACATTGCATGGCTGGAAGGACCAGGACAAACAATAGGCAGCCTCTATGGCACTGGAGGGTTAAGGTAGAGAGCTGCAGGGCAGTAACCTGCTATACCAGTTTGGGGGTGGCCTGCCTGCCCCTTTCACTTTTTGGCCTTCGGGTGGTAGTGACACATCACCTGCTCGAACTCTGTGGCTGTTAATTCAGGAGGTGGTAGCAAAGGGGGAAATGCAGCACTTCTCTGTGTCAGAGCTGTGAGTGAGCTGTTCTCCCTGGAGTCCCGTCTTAGCTGCATTTAGAAACAGCATAGAGCTGGGCAAGTTTTCTTGCCTGCTACGGCAGAGCTGGGAGTGGGCAGGAATTGTTTTAAGTTAAACACACGTTCGTTCATATTTTTGCCATCTGACATGGTAGACCCGCCCATGGTGCTGCTTATCACAGTCAGTGAGAGCTGCTGTTTCCTTTAGAGCCAGTGCATGTCCCAGGCAGGAGGCTCCTGCTCGCCCCAAGCTGAGGGCTGGTGTTGCTCAGGCAGATGGCTCTTCTGACCTGCCGAGTGTGCCACCACACCTCAGCATGGCTGGGGAGACTCCTCTGGAAAAGCTTCCATTTTCCTCTTCTGACTGAAATTGTGGATCCAACTCTTACATGCCTATTTATGCCAAGCAGTGTGAATTTATCCCACCTCTGTTGTAGCTGGACCCTTGGGCTGGATGAGCGCTCCTAGCCTTGTTTGGATGATGCCTGTCTCTTGGCAAATATTAGCATTTGGATGGGAAGAGCTGTGCTCAGTTTTAGGCTGGCTGAAAAGTTAAGTCTCTCCTGATTATTGAGAGCTCCCAGGCTTTGGATGCCTGAGATGTTGTGTAATTGAGATACCTTCTTGTTCAGCAAACAGTGCTGGCATTTTCACCTTTTGGGGAGTGGCAGGTCATTGCTACGCTTCCGCAGGGTTGGAGGAATCAGCGGCCCTGTGTGTCTGAGCCTCTGCTTTCCCTTGAAGAGCCAGTGCTGCTCTCTGTTTCTACAAAGCCATAAAGGGCAAAGCCAAGGTTCAGACTGCTTTGTTAAGCTGCATATAATTTACCACACAGGTTGTTGTCGTTGTTGCTTTGATTTCTAAGTGCCATGCTCTCAGGAAGAAGCTGGGGGAATGACACTGGGACTCTGCAGCCAGCTGTACAGAACTGTCTTTCCAGCTGCAGTCTGGCAAACAGACCATCCTCGTGACCAGCATCCCTAGCACCCAGGTTTCAGGGTGGGCCTGAGGAGAATCCTGGTTCTCTCACTGTAGAAAGGGGACAACAGTGCTGGTAAGAGGAGGCTGTCTGCACCTGCAGAGCCAGAAAAGGTAATGGGAAGAGGTGTGTTCCCAGGCATTTGGGCAGGATGGGCTTCTCAGACCACAGGTCTGAAATGGATTGATTCCATTGGTATATCAGTCTCCTTCTTTCATCTTCCTCTTTGAATTGCACACTCAGTGCTTTTTAAGAACAAAGCATTGGTAGTGACCAGCTGCACGGAATCCAGTTCCCTATAAATATTTGATTCAAAAAGATCAATTCCTTTGCATCTGAAAGTGCTTTGAGGTGGGTATGTCAGTTCTGTGGGTCTATTCGTGCCCTAATGTGAGATGTCCCTGATTGCTTCCTTGAGACTTTGGTTACAATAGAAGTAACTCTAGTGCATGCTCAGGGCATCATTGGCTTGCTCTGAAGGTGACAGAGCTCATGAGAGCATCCTGGTGCATGTGTGTTTGTAAAGAGCTTGCAATACACGTGCTAGGTTGCAGACAAGCAGGAGGCCTCATGTATGTTGTGATTCCATGAAAGACTTGGGGGGTGCCAGTCTGATGTAGTTGGTCACATAGATGTGTTGCTGCTCATCCCCTTGCTTGAGGGAATGCTCTGTTTGAGAGATCAAATTTGCCACAGCCCTGGTAATAAAGAGGTGGAAGTACAAAAACCAGTGTCATGGTATGTTTTATTGAACCTCTTCTGTGCCTGGTCCCATCCCCAAGCCAGGCATAACCACTGATGTTTGGATCTCATAGAATGGTAGTTCTGTACCTGTAGCCATGTTTGTCTCTCCACAGCCTGTGGAGGCAACGGATGACGCCTTTTGGGACCAGTTCTGGGCAGACACAGCCACTTCAGTGCAGGATGTCTTTGCCCTTGTACCAGCTGCAGAGATCCGAGCAGTGAGAGAAGAATCACCTTCAAACTTGGCGACTCTGTGTTATAAGGTAAGGTTGGTGCTATGCTAGTAGCGGGGTGCCCCTGCATAAACAGCCCTGTGGCTCCCAAGAGGAGACAGGTACCACATTATTTCCCTGTACTATGTGATGTGCTTACTTATCCCTGTCTCCTCCTGATGGTAACTCTCAGCCCTTCCTCTCTTGGTTTAGCACAGACCACAGCTGCTATTTGCTCACTTTAGAGCCTTTTTCCTCTTGTCCCTTTCCTGTGTTTCACTCTGCCCTCTTGGGTCTTGCCTGCTGTATAAACTGCTTCCTGCTTAGGGGACTTTATACCAAGGCTGCATATTTGTGGCGAGGCTGGTACATCCAATTACTTGTCTGTATCTAATTGCTCCTCACCATGAATCGGTCTGGCTTCAAGCTGATAGATCCCAGAGGGGTGTGGAGATTGTCACTGTACAAGTGCCTGGATGAAGTTTGAGGGAGATCTTAAGACTTTTTTTTGCTTTTGCTGTGACATCAGAACATCCTTGATGCTGCTTCTGGTGTTGCCACGTCCTCGTGTGGAGCACAAGGGACACTGACTCACGTTTCCTACCCTGCCAGGTTTGGCAAGTTGTCAAGCTGGTGAGCAACAGCCTGACACTTACTCTGCCTGGGAAAGTGCAGGTGTTAGTAATGTTCCTGATTTGAGCCATGCAACGAATAGCCTTGAATTTGTAGTATTGAAAACATTTGGAATGACATTTTCCCAGTTCTGAGTGGTTGTTGCCATCCTGTTTTTCTTTCCTGCTCTACAAAATGTGAATGAGACCTACTGAATCATACTGAAGTACCTCTGACTGGGAATTGTGCCTCAGACAGATGCCTGTAGTGGATACTTGAGAGAGCACAGAAATGAGGAAAAATTGAATGGTTCTTTCCTAGTGCTGTCTCCTGGCTTCTGGCACTCATCAGCTTGGGAATCGAGAAGGGCTGAGGAGACCTATACTGACTACATAACCCGTTTGTGTCTGTTTTCCCCCAAAATCAAGACTAAAATATGGGCTGTTCTCCCTACTAGAAGCAGATGTGTTGGGAGACCAGGTGACTGCAGGGCTGTTTATCCAGGAGCCCTAGAGCTTGGGATATTGGGGTCAGAGGAGCCTACAGACTCCTGCAGTGCTTTTGCCAGACTGAGGGCCCTGACCTGTGCCTGGTGCACTGTACCACTGGACTTAGCAATGCTGCATGTTCGTGGAGAGCACAACAGCATGGCTGAAATGTCATCTGGAAATATGGCTGGAGACTCAGACTGCACAGGGTCATAAATGTGCCTGAAAACATAGTTAAGCTCAGTCAGAGTAGTGTGTGGACAGACTGAGACTACACAAACAGCATTTAAATACCCATTAAGGCAGTGACGCAGGCTAGCAGAGTCAGTGACCCAGACAGTCTGCTATGAAAATAAGCAGGGACGCATGACCTCGTGAATTAAAAAGCAGCAAGGTGAATCCTTGGTAAATGTTTTGGCTTTCATTCCCCCTTGGTTTCCCCTTGGGATCAGGGAGTAAGAGCAAGTGAGTGCAGCTGCTGGGGGAAGGAGCTGCCCTTTTCTGTCTGTGGGTAAAACCCTTTGCTGCTGTCTCCTGGGGCTGCAGTTGCTGCCTGGCGAGACCCACATCCTATTCTGAAAAACCCAGTGGGACTATCTCCATTGGCAGTTTCAGCAGTGATTGGATGGACTGCAGAGACTCAGCCCAGAAGCTCTTTCCAGAGCAGCAGTCCTATTCACAGGGTCACTTAAGTCTCACAGAGCAGCTTAGCTCCCGCCTCCTGAGTCAGGGGAGGTCCCTGCTGTAATCGCAACAGCACATACAGATCTGTCAGACTTCATGTGTTTCTGGGCAATCTTCCCCTGCCAGCACCTCACACCATGCAGCACAGTGCTGCTGCATTGGTTCTGCCTGCATCTTGTGTCCCTGATGTGGCTGATTAATATGACCTGCTCTTTGCTGCGTGAGGTGTCATGGAGCAGTGCTGGAAGGAGCCTTCTGGTGCTGTGGCTGTCTGCTTCACATGGCATGACATGTGTGCTGCATGGATTAGCTCTGGCATGTGAGGTCTCTTGCAGCAGCACAGTAGAAATTCCAGAAGGTCTATTTAAGATCATTAACACTATTTCTGCAGTGTTGCAAACAGCAACAGCGCTTGTAGTATTACATTGTGAGAAAATGGGCTCCAAGACCTGCTTATAACTCTGTATGAGGGTGTCACCAGCAGGATAGACCCAGCCAACTCTTGCTAACTTGTGTCCAGGCTGATGCTACCTGCCATGGTTTTGTTTCCTTCAGGCTGTGGAGAAGCTGGTGCAGGGAGCAGAGAGCGGCTGCCACACAGAGAAGGAGAGGCAAATCGTCTTGAACTGCTGCCGGCTCCTCACCCGTATCCTGCCTTACATCTTCGAGGACCCCGATTGGAGAGGTTTCTTCTGGTCAACTGTCCCCGGGGCTGGCCGAGGAGGGGTCTGTCTCTTGGCACTTATTCTTCTTTCTAGAGGGTGAAGGTGAAGCTGCAGCGAGGAGACCCTATATACTTTTGGGGTCAACTTTACTTCAGTTATTTATGTTTGGTCAGAAATTAGGTGGCACCTTCTAAGTTGTTTTCCTTCCTTTGATTCTTTCTGCTCTTCCTCTCACTCTCAGCTGCTTTGTTTAGCACAAGTTGCTGCATCATCTGAATATTTCACTTGGGTCTGTAGCTATAGGAGAGCACTGGTATGTCGGGGAAGGCTTCTCTAGTATAACTGAAGGTGTCAACCAAAATGAACAAGAGGCTGGTACTGAAGACTGACTTTCTTAAACCAAAATGACCTTCTTCCATTAATGAAAGTTGAGTCAAACTGAAAAAGAGTATAATTTCCATTGATTTTACAATGTCACGTTTAGAGCAAACAGTGCCAGAGAAGCTTTCAGCACCACGACTCGATCCTTTGCTTACGAGCTGAGGGCTAGAGTTGTAACCAGGGGCCTAGCCTGATAAATGAAGCCCACAACTGAGCAAGTGTGGTAAAATAATTAGGGTTAAAGAATTATGTGCTGTTTCTGGCTCTGTCAGTGATGTGTATAACCTCAAGGGTGTCTCTGAACCTCCCTACATTTCTCTGTCTGGTGAGCAGGTACAACAGTCCTCTTCTGTGTCTCTCAAAGGAACAGGGTGAAAGTGTTTTAGGATCTCCCACAAATAGAAATAATGTTGAAAATACAGTTGAGTTAGGCCAGGAATACATATTTGCCTGCTTATTCCTTTGGCAGCTGCACATAAAGAGCACTCTCCTATGAGTTTCTGAATCTGCAGGTCAGTGTGGCAGTGCTGAAGTCTGTGGTTTCCCCTGAACATTAAGTGTACTGCAGTCTTTTTGGCAACATTATAAAGGATCAGCGGTGATTGGTATAGTACAAACCTTGCACCTTTCACTGTCTCTGCCTGTCACCTCTAATCTGTTTTGCCTGAGGCACTTCAAGGGGAAGTTCTGGGTCGTGGAAATGGAGGTCTTTGCTAACTCTGCTGTATTATGTGATCTGTGTGATTGGGAGGCTGGTGGTTGTCCACCCTTTCATCTCTGCAGGGGCCCGGGAATTCTGGAGAGGCTTAACAATGGAGGAGCTTGTTTTGGGAAGGAACATGTGGGGTGCCTGGTACTCTGATCCATCCAAGCTGCTGTAATAACTGTTTTTCCACCCTGTTCAGCACCTGGAAGAGTTTCTCAGCCTTAGAGTGGTGGAGTCACCCCAAGGCGATCTAGCCCCTTTCATGTGTGCTGGCTTAGGGAGCCCTTCCACTGTGTCGTGCTCTTGAATGTTGGCAGAGCTGTTGTGGTTCAGTGTGCTCCATCATTTAACTATGTGCAGGAGCAGCTGTAAGGCTGTCAGGGGATAACAAATAAAGCCCTGAGATGTTAGGGAAGCTGAGACCACATCTAACCTAGGGGCAACATCTTTGCTGTCTGAAGGCTGGTTTCTCCCTGGGAACTGAAGGGGAAAGATGATGATGTGCCTGGACCACCAGATAGTAAATATCTCTGCGATTATCCTTTGCCCACTTCATGATGTGGTGATGGATGGCAGAGCTCCTGGAACATGGGTGTCTTCCCCTTGTAAGAGAGTCTGTATTGTGTACAGATCTATTGGTTTATTGTGTGTTACCCATTTTGGATGTGGTGGTACCCAGAGCCTGCAGGGAGTCTTTCTGGCAGCTGAGGCAATACTAGCAAAGATGATTCTTGGAAAAGAAATCCTCTTGTACTCTAATGCTCATCGTTTCATCTCTGACTGTGAGCTTACGTAAAAGCATCTTTGCTGTGCTGGCTCCATCCATCCTCTCTGGGCCTCTCCTTACATCCGGGACCTGTTTGACAGTAGTCTTCCAGCTGTCACCAAGACAGACGTCAGAGCCACACAGGCTATTATCTCTGTTAGCTGCCTGCTGTGATTTAAGAGCCTTGTGTTCTGCGCAGGCTGACAGAGGCCTGGCTGAGATAGATAAGCTCCTGCAATTCCTGCTCTCTACCTTTTCCTCCAGCACCAGTGTGTGGTGAGGAAGGCCTCCCATCCAGGATGCTCTTTGACAGGCAGGGTCTGGCAAGGTTTCCCGTGGCAACAGCTGCGGAGGAGTAGCCATGCATGATTTGGGTGATTGCTTTGAATGTTGGAGACAGCAAAATTCCCTCTGCTGTCGTGCTTGCTCTGCCACTGCAGGCTGAGGTGGCCCCTTGCATGGTGCACGCAGCCTCTCCAGTTCTGGGCAGCCCACACAGGACTTCGAGAGCTTTTACACCTTAGTGCTGCTGGCTGGCTGCCTCTATTGCTGTCTCTGTGCACCATCCAAATCACGCTCCTTCATGACTGTAAAACCCTCTTCTCTGTAAATGGTTCCCTTTCCTTTTGTCTTCAGTAAGTCAAGCATCTCCATGTGTCAAGGTCCAGTGCTATTCTTCTGTTTCCCCAACATCTCTAGGTCTTTGTCCGCTGGGTTTGGTGTCATTAGACTGCTTGCTCCTGTTCAGTCATCGCCTTCCAGGGAGGAATTTTTCCTACACTGAATGGGTTTTGTGTGTTTTTCCCTCTTGTTCCTTTGTAACTTTTTGCCTCCCTGTGTGTTCTTGGGGAGTGTATCTTCACTTGCTGTGTTTCACCAGTGTTACTGTGTGTTCTTTGTTAACCCCAGGCTGACAGTACTCTTCCATGTTTCTTGCTTTTAGGGAGATGAAGATGATGAAAATGCCCGGCCACTGGCCGAGTCGTTGCTCCTTGCTGTTGCAGATCTGCTCTTCTGTCCTGATTTCACTGTGCAGAGCCACCGGAGAATCACGGTGGTAAGTTGAATCATGAGATCATCTGCGTAGAGGTAGTTCAGCTGCATAGTGGAGGGTACCCTGGAAAACCCCAGCAGCTTCCTGCAAACCTGTAGGCAGGGGGATATGGAGTCATCAAGCTTGAGCCCACAGTGACTAATATTGATCAATATTTTGGGTTCACTGTGTAGTGTTTGTGCCTTCTGAGGCAGCTGGATGAGTCTCAGCTGGAGTGGCTGGCACTTACCCCTGCACTACAGCTTGCCCCTCGGGAAAATGTCATTGTGCTGGCAAACAACTGCTCTTCTGTTGTTGCCAGCGGAGCAGAGACCTTTAGCACCTTGTTCCTTTCACTGGCAATTTGGTGCAGTCTGGGGCAGGAAGCAGCTGTTTGCCTGATCGGAGGTGCTGTGATCTGAATTAGTAGGTGGTCTCTGTGTGTCTTTCCACCTCCTCTCCCTCTTTGTATCATTGCAGCAAAGACAAATGTGTTCTGATCCTTATGGTGATTGTCTTCAGAGGAGTTCCCTGAAGCAGGGATCATCTGCCAGGTGTGCTAAGGACAGATTCTGGTGCATCTCCCTCCCTCTCTCTTTCTCTCTTCCCCTCTGCCCCCCAATGACTATATGGTGTTTCTTGTAGGTCCAGTCTGTAAACAAAAGTGGGCAGCTCTCCTTTTTGATATAGCTATGAAGTAAATTAAAAGTTAACGTGCTAAACCACTGTGTATTTGACGGCTGCAAAGCTCCCTGACAAACCTGAGTTTGCTCACTTGAAGTTTCTGGGTCCTAGAAGCAGGGTGAAAATCTGTCACCTGGGGTTGAAGGGGGTGAGGCTGGATCAGAGCCACGTGGGTATGTGCTAAGCGTAAGTGGGAGTGCAGTGGAAAGAGGTGGACTTGTCTTGTGCTTGGGATGGATTGCACAAGTTGGGGTGGCAACATTTTCTCCTGGGAGGTCCCCCTGCCACTGCACTGTGATTTCTCCCTTGGCAGCAGCCAGCCTGGCTTTCCAGGGCTCTGGGCAAGTTGAATTAGATGATGGGATTGTGAATGTTTTATGTTCCTTGCTGTTAGCTGCCTGTCTGCTCCTGCAGCCTCTGCAGTCTCTGCCTAGCTATCTTACATCTCTGGATCTGGTCTCACTTGTGCTCTTGCACCTCACTGCAGGTTAAGAGCAGAGATGGGTGCAACCACCTCATGCTCCTGCCAGAACAGTATATGGCACCAGAGGTACAGATTGTGGTGGATGTTGCTGAAGCAGAACTGAGTAAAGAGGAAGAGTAACAGCTGGGAGGGAATGGACGAAGGAGTCCCAGGAATGACCCATACTCTTTTGCTGTTTGCCTTCCAATTGAAGTCTGTCCTGGAATTATGGCTAGAAATTGGGGATCCCTCTGTCATGCACAATGCTTGCATCTCTGTTTTTTTGTCACTTACTTGCAAAGGCTGAACTCTTTGAAGACATCAGTACCTGCCATTTTAGGCCTGGGGAACTGCTGTAATGATGGCTAATAATGTGCTGTCTCCTCCCAGTGTTCCTGCTTAGTCACACATGATAGAAGCAGGTTTGTGAAAGTAATTGCACTTCTTTCCATGAAGCCTGTGCCTGGCAGGAGATTTGATTATGGAGGGGAGTCTTGGGCACTCCAGTCTCAGCAAGAATTGTTCTGAGGAACTCGATCAGAAACCTGACAGCAGGTGAGCTCTGGCCAAGGAAGTGAGAAGGCAGGCAGGAAAAGCGTGGACTGTGGAGGAAGCTGCAGTTGCCTCTGTGCCAGCAGTAGCTGCTGTCAGCATGCTTATTTTGTGGGAGTTGTGGTTGGGGTGGTAAGTGCATCTTGGTTGCCCTCAAGCCCTGCTGTCCTGAGATCAGTGCTTTTGTGGGAGGGAGGAAGAGTTGGAGGTTATGCAATGGGTACTCAGAGCAATTAGAAACAGTCCTCTGATCTGCTTTCCCCAAGTGCAAGGAGGAAAAAAGGCAGGTGGTAGAATTTGCTTAATTAAACTCCAGAAAAGAGACAGCCAAAGTGTGCCAAGTGGACTTGATGCAAACATCTGAGTCTTTGTTCCTGGTCATTCCTAGAGGGTCAGCAGGCCATTTTCAATGGCTGCTTGTGTCTGCAGAGCTGCTTCAACCCTGACCTGGCTGACCATGACAAAGAAGGGCAAACTGCTGTGGTTTATCTCCTCAGGTTGCAAAGCAAGAGTTTGGGAGTCATGCCAGTGGCTGTCAAAAGACTGGGAGGGCTCTGACTGGGAGAAATAGCATGTTTGCAGTTGCCTTCTTCCTTTACCCTCTGAAAAGCAAGTCACAGCCATATCCACTTTTATTATTGATGAGGGTTAATTTACTGATTCTCCTGCCTTTGGGATACAGCTATTGGGACATATCATGTTGAGTTTACTCGCATATTAGTGACTCATGAGATACGGTCAAGGTGTTGAGCAGGACTGAACCCATGTGGTGCTCTTGATCTACAAAGGAAAAGCCCTGACCTGAGATGCAGAGGAGAGGAGGTGGTGATGCATCAGATTGTAAGAATAGGAGGTATTTCAGCATTGGGTGGCCCGTCCCAGTTGTGGTGGCTAGCATTGCACCTTAGCCTGCTAGAGGAAGGGCCTTGTTCTGCATGGTGCTCAGTACTTGTTGAAGATGAGGTCCTCGGTCAAGGATGTGCCTTGGGCGGGGTTGGTATCTACAGTCTGAATGTTTGGATGCTTCTCTGCTGGTTTCTTTGCTAAAGAGAGTGGCTGAATTGCCTTGAATACCACTAGCTCTGTCAAATCTTGCTCTTGCCTTCTGTGGTCCAACCTCTTATTTCTCCCCACAGGACACAGCAGAAGATATCCACTCCATCGACAGCTGTGAGTACATCTGGGAGGCAGGAGTGGGCTTTGCTCATTCTCCACAGCCTAACTACATCCATGACTTGAATAGGTAAGAGGGTCTGCAAAGGCAGAGTAGAGAGAAACTGGGCTCAGAAGAGTGGGATGTAGGGGAGATGGGATCTCCTTGGGTATTTGTGATTCCCAAGAGGCTTTCTCCTTGCTCCTTTGAGCTAACAGGACTGACAACCCAAGGAGGGGGAAAAAAAAAGCAACAAAAAAACACCACAAAAAAAAAAAACAACAAAAAAAACCAAAACAAAAAACAAACAAACAAAAAAAACAAACACAAAAACCAAACAAACAGCTGACCTTTTGAATAGCTTTTTGTAATATGATATGGGAGTCAGAGTGTCTGCAGCAGGAACTGGCAAAACATTGCTGCTCTGAAAGTGTCTAGGAGCTCTGTACTGTATTTCTTTTTCATAAGGCAGCAATTCTGCTGAGCTTTGTGCCAGTGACAGCAGTATTGCTTATGAAATGAAACGGGCTTAGCTCTCTGTGGGGAGGACGTTCTGGATGGGACTGAGCCTTCCTTCCTTATGTGTTATTGTGGTAAGTGGTTGTGATTCCTGTGCCCAGTCCCTGCTCCTGAATGGCTCCAGGCCTTGGCTTCTTCCCTTCTTTCAGGACAGAGCTGCTTAAGCTGCTGCTGACATGTTTCTCTGAGGCCATGTATCTGCCTCCCTCCTCGGACAGCAGCAATGCCAACCCCTGGGTGCAGTTCTTCTGCTCTACAGAGAACAGGTAAGGGTGAAGTGTAGGGGATGAGGTGCCAGGGGGAGAAAGAAATGTCTTCAAATCTCTTCCATGCAGTGTGTTCATAATGGATGGACCACAGAACTTGCGATCTCCAGTGTCTGGGGGCTGTGGTCCTTTTTCTTTGTCCCTGTCGTACATCTCATTAACATCTCTGCTTAGTGAGAATTGTTCCTCAGCAGCAAAAGGAGAGACAGCATGGTGCTCGCTGGAGTTTGATGCAGGACTGATTCCTGCCGTGTGGGAAATGGCAGATCCTGTTTCCTGCTGTAGACCCTGTTCCCTCCTGGGGATGGTGGTGTGGCACTGCAGTGGGTGGTTTGTGGTGTCAGTGGCGGATGAATGCTGCCCTCTAGTGACGTTGTCTCGCTGGGACTTTCAGCTCCTCAGGTGACAGTTGCTCATCTTGGGGAGCATAATTTAGGCTGAAGGCAGACAGTTTTGTCTTTCCAGAGTCTAGAGAGCTCTGAGATCCTGTCCCCTTTCTCACACTGCTGCACAGGATTCCTCTGGGAGGCCACACAGCCTTTTTCACCTCTTTTGGCTGTACTCCAGGAGACCATTTGGGAGCTGGAGTGTCAGCTCTTGTCTCTGGGCTTGCTCAGTCATGGGCCACTGTTAGGGAAGATGCTAGTGTTTTGTCATGACCCCAAACTCTTGGGGAGAGATTCCTGTCCCTCCCCAAGGCAGCACCTTTTGCTGCCTGCTTATGCCTTCTGAGAATGTTTTTTCCTGCCCAGACATGCGCTCCCACTCTTCACCTCACTCCTGAACGTCGTCTGTGCCTACGACCCGGTGGGTTACGGGATTCCTTACAATCACCTGCTTTTCTCTGACTACCGTGAGCCCCTGGTGGAGGAGGCAGCCCAGGTGCTGATTGTCACTTTGGACTATGACAGCTCTACTAGTTCAAGTCCCAGTGTGGATGGCACGACCACTGGCACGGCCATGGATGATGTGGATGTGAGTGACACTGGGATATCTATTTACTGCTCTCCTGAACTCCCTGTGGTCCTCATACACCAGCTTGCATTGAATGTTGACCTGTAGGGCCCAGCACCACTCCTCTCCTTGCAGTCTGCTATCTCTGGTCCAGTCCTGCTTCTTTCCTGTAGTTCACTAAACAGCTGTGCTCTGCATGACCAAACCACTAGGTTTTGGTCAATGACTCAATTCAGGAACATGTAAGTGAAAAGTCCTTGACTTTACTGTTCCCTGAGGTGCTCTGTCTCCTGGCATTTAAAACTGGATCATTCAGAGAGGAAAAGTGAAATGAGAGACATTAGCCCCCAGAGCCAGTCATTAGACTTTGACTCCCTGAGTAAACCTGGTTGTCAGTAAGAATTTCATTAATTGTCTTTTGAATGCAGCCTCCGGGACCAGACAATCTGTTTGTGAATTACCTCTCAAGAATACACCGAGAGGAGGTAATGTGCTCCTGTCCTGAACTATTTCCTGTCTGATTTCATGCTGACTGCATTAGCCCTGGGCCCACTACAGCCTCTTTCCTCGTCTGTCGGCAGGATTTCCAGTTCATCCTGAAAGGAGTGGCCCGCTTGTTATCAAACCCGCTGGTCCAGACCTACCTGCCAAACTCTGCCAAGAAGATCCAATTCCATCAGGAACTCCTCGTCCTCTTCTGGAAACTCTGTGACTTCAACAAGGTGTGGATCTGTCTCTTGCTGAGCTTTGTCCCACCTTTGCCTATTGCCCAGAGCCTGGTGTGGCTCTGGCTGGACCGAGCCCTGGGGAAGGGTTGTGGGCAAGTAGTTAGGAGTGACTCTGGTGCTCTGGTCAGCGGTGCTCCTCCCTCCTGCATGGGCTGGGGGAGTCTGGCTGTAGGAACAGCTTGTGAGGAAGGCTGCAGCTCCTCAAGGTGTTTGAAGAAATTGCTGGAGCAGGTATTATAATATCTACGAAAAACACTGGAGTTGAAGAGCTGGTGCATATACAAGCCTTTCTAATGTTCTCAAGAGACTAATTAGCTTGAGGCTACCTGTCCCGAGTCCTGTAGTTGGTGCAAAAAACCAAATATCCTTGTGATTGTCTGAAATCCTCCCCTTTCTTACAGAAATTCCTTTTCTTTGTGCTGAAGAGCAGTGATGTTCTGGACATCCTTGTCCCAATCTTGTATTTTCTCAATGATGCCAGAGCAGACCAGTGTAAGTTGGTTATTTTCAATATTTGGGATGATCTGTGCTTGACAGTTGAGCTAGAATGTTTTTAAGATGCTTCCTCCCTGCTACTTAGATGTGATAGCATCTCAGATGTGTGTTCCTAGCCTTCTACAGGCATGGAGTGGTTCAGTTAGCTGGGCTTTAACGTTTGTAACAGACTAGAAGCAGGAGGTGATCTATACCACAACACAGAGAAGGGAGATCATTAGCATGTGTTAACTTGTTTTGAGTCCTTATGTCAAAAACTGTCCCTGATCCCATGAAGAAGGAGAAATGAGCAATCTGCTCTTGCCTTTGGTGTAAATCAGGTATAACTCCATCACTGGGTAGTGGAAAGAAGTTGTTGGGTCTTTCCTACTATGGTGAGGGGCTTACATCAAGAACATAATGAAGAAAGGCATGATCTATCTGAGACTTAACATAGATGTGCTTGGGAAGGACACTGGTACTGGCAGTGGAGGGACCTCTGTGTGGGATGTCCCTTATCAGATTGATCTGGTCTGTGCAGTTTTTCTTTCAGTCCCATAGTGTTTCTCCTCTCTCCTTACTGCCTTTCTGTCTTCAGGAGTCCACTGACCTCACTGTGATGTGTGGGGTTTTTGTTTGGTGTTTTTGTTTGTTTTTTTGTTTTTTTGTTTTTTTTTTTTTTTTTGCTTGCAGCACGAGTGGGCTTGATGCACATTGGGGTCTTTATCCTCCTGCTTCTCAGTGGGGAGCGTAACTTTGGAGTTCGACTGAACAAGCCGTATTCTGTACGAGTGCCTATGGACATCCCTGTCTTCACAGGGACACATGCAGATCTGCTCATCATAGTAAGTATAGCTCCAACACTTCTTTTCTGTCCCTTGTAACTCTTATTTCATACCTCCACAAATAATTGTCTTCCGTCCTTCAGTATATTCATCCTTCATAGATTGCCAGCCTGCTGAGTAGCTAGCAAGTGTGTGGGATGTATCCAAGCACTGGTGGGATCTTTGCACACTGTTATCCCGAGGTGATGTGTCTGGCAGGGTGCATATGCATCAGATGCAATTCCATCTGTATGAGATGATCCCAAAAACTGGGATCCCAGATGGTGCTGGATTGGTGTCTAAAGGACTCTGGGCCTGTCATGAGTGGGGTGGGTGCATGGCCTCTACCAGACTTGACTGCAGGTGGCGAAGGCAGGAGATCTGACTGCATTGCTTGCTCTGTCCCAAGAATCCAGAGTTGTGTGGAGCACATCGGCCAGAATGGGAACAACAGTGATACCAGGCTCAACCCTGCAGCTTTGGGTTGCTGCAAGGTTTCATTCATCTTTCAGTCTGTAGTGCCGGGGGTCACAATACTGCCTACAAACAGCTGTGTGTTTACAGTACCAGCCTCAGGTTACCCTCCTGCCATGTTAGTGCTTGTTTGCCAAAGAAGAATCTCTTAGCAGCTTCTGATAAACCTGCAAAAGGAGACTTTTATTAGAAGGAGTGGGAAGAAATGTGCCCACTGGTACTGTTCTTGACACTGTGTTTTGCTATTACATTCTATTAATTTTAGATCATCTCTATATTTTCATTATGCTGCAGGGTGTCTCTACAGGCATGCCAACTAGAGGTGGGAAGGCCAGGATTGGCAATGTCTGAACTGGTTGCAAGGCAGTTGAATCTTTCCATGTCTGAGGGTATAGTTAAGAAAAGTGGGACAAACATTTGAGTTAAAAGTTTGCACTAAAATCAAATGTGAGATGATTAGTTCTGTGGCATTTCAAGCAGCTATCATCAGGGTTCAGAGTCAAAATCCATTGCGGATGGAGATGTTTCTTACTTCCTGGTGGCTTATTTTTGTTTCAGGCTGCCTGTTCATTTTGGAACAGTTCACAGTCAGTTTCTGTTTGCAGTGTTGTAGAGCCCTAATCACATCCCGAAAGTATTCCTTGTAAATGAAAGCTTGTGCTCCTGGAGCGCAAGTCTGCAGTGAGAGCAGCCTTCCCCACCTGTGTAATTGTGGAGTGTGCTTGGCCCAGCCTAGCAAGGAATGGTGTCAGGAAGCGATTAGTGTGGGGGTGGCACTGGTTTTGGTTGAGAGGATGCTTTCAGTAAGGTGTACTACCTTGCTCAAGAGCTTCTTCCTTACGATAGGTCTTTCACAAGATCATAACCAGCGGGCATCAGCGGCTGCAGCCTCTCTTTGACTGCCTGCTCACCATTGTTGTGAACGGTAAGCACTGTGTGGTGTGAAACCACAACCCACAGAGGGGACAGCTCTGGCTGCTCTCACTCCCCTCTCCCTGCTCTCCTACCTGTGCCCCCTAACACTGACCGGTGTTAGTGGCTGCTGCTGGAGACTGATCCTTTCTAGTTGGTGCTGGCAGTGCCAGCTGCACATCAGACCTGCCTGCAGGGTTATTGTGTGGGCTCGGCCTGATGGTGCCAAGGGTGGGACAGCAGAGTCCCTGGAGCCCCTCTGGGGTGGCCAGAAAGCCCAGTGAGGCTGGTTGGCAGTGCTAACCCTTTCCAGCAGGGAGTGCCACCTCCCCATGGTGGCAGTGGCTTCCCTTGTGCTTAGTGACCAGGTGGCTCCAGTTGTGTAAGCTTTTCAGGAGGCACGCCAGAGATGATGTTACTAATGTAAAACTACACAAGACCCTCTAAAAGCAGAACTGCTTGCTTTTACTAGGCAGTATCTCTGTTTCACTTATATTTGGGAATGTTTCTGTGGAGCCTTGTTGGGCTCAGCTGCTCCATGAGGCTTTCCCAGAAGTGTAGGGTGGGAAGGTGGTAAAAGCAACATTTATGTGAATACATATAACTTGGTTCTTTCTTCAGTTTTCATTTGTTTGCCTTCCACAGTGTCTCCATACCTAAAGTCTCTCTCAATGGTGGCTGCTAACAAGTTATTGCATCTCCTGGAAGCTTTTTCCACCACCTGGTTCCTGTTCTCTGCTGTCCAAAATCACCATCTTGTTTTCTTCTTGCTGGAAGTTTTCAACAACATTATCCAGTACCAGTTTGATGGTAAGAGACTGGCTGCTGTATTTAGTGGGTTTGCACTAGTTTACTCCCAAGAGAACATCAGATGAAAGTTCAGAGAAAATCCAAACAGATGAGAGAAGGGGAGAAACGTAGAAACCAGCTACATGGAGACTTGCCTAGGATTGAGAAGTTGGGTTAGTAGGTAATCACTGTTGGGTCCTGACCCAGACAGATTGGGTTAGAGTTAAATGAGATGGCAGCTAATTATCAGCATAACCTCAGCCTCCTGCAGAGCAGAAAATGAGATGGGAAGAAGGGAAAGCGCATGTGTAATGCTTAAGTTGTGACTGGCTGGATGCTGCTGTGGAACTGCTCATGTTGCTCAGAAATGTAAGTGAGGGGACAAACCAACTTCCATCTCCTTAAGTGTTTAGAAGTGCCTCTTGGTTCTGTTCTGACAGGTCACTGGAGCTGAAGACCAAACAGCCCCATCCAAACAAAGTTCTGGCTCTTGCTCCCTTTCCAGGAAAATGCCTTGTGCTTTCCCTCTTAAAAGCATGACAGTCTTTTACCTCAAGGAAATAATAGAATGAGGTCCCTTAGCCTGCTCAAAATTTGATGTTTTGCTTTAAAACTGCAAATAAAGAGTGACCATTCTGCTTCCCAAATGGAAATCTTGCAAGTGGTGTTTGCCAGATACTAAAGCAGCCTCTGTGGCTGTGATGTGTGTTTTATTTTAGGGGATGGTTTAATTCTGTTCTCTGCCACCTTGCAGACATTAAGAATTTTGGCCATTTTGCTTTGCTATTTCAAGTGCATTTCTCCTCAGATGGAATACCCCTGATTTATTTTGTGAACTCTTGAAGATGGAGAAATGTTGAATCTTGGCTAACAATCTTTTCTTCCAAAATAGGTTCTAATATGTGGTTTAAACTGTCCTTTTTCTTCTCAGTTTGAATGTCAGTTTCTAAGCTATTTCTTGTCAGCCTTCCAGCCTAGGAAGGATTTAATTGAATTTTCTGTACTGCTTTGTAATGGATAAGAGGATTTCAAGCCCTGCTCCTTCTTTCTTGTACCATTGCCTTTGGGGGGTGGAAGCATGGTTCTCTGAGTTTGTGGGGTCTCCACAACCATGCTTTGTGTACCCTGTGAGCTGTGCTGTATTGGCAGAGCTTGCTGAGTCTTACTTCTCTGCTCATTTTGTTGCTGTGATTCCCAGGGAACTCAAATTTGGTCTATGCTGTTATCCGCAAGCGGAATGTGTTTCACCAGCTGGCCAACTTACCCACGGACTCCCAGTCCATCCAGAAAGGTCTGCAGCGCAAGAAGAAAACTCCTGAGCCGATTTCTCGCACCAACTCCCAGGACGGGGTCTCCATGGAAGGGTCACGTCCTGCTGCCCCTGCTGAACCAGGGACACTGAAGACTAGTTTGGTGGCTACTCCAGGTCAGCTTTAGTTTACCTTTGTAACAGGAAAGAGGTTTGTTTTCTCTGTGAGATACGGTGTGGACTCACCCTTTCACTGGGCGTGGGAGAGATTAAGAGTTTATATCTGTGAATGACTTACTGCCTTTCAGTCTGAGTTTCAGATCAGTTTGCCCAAGCTGATCACAAACACGTCAAAGTAAACTGTCTTGAGTTTCTCTCCTCTCAGACTTAGTGTCCACCTGGACGTTTGTCCTAATCTTGTCATTTTGCTGTGGTTTAACTATATCCGTGTGAACCTGTGTTCCTCTCACATCAGGGGACATCTTCTAGAGACAAACTCCTTTGGAGTGGTGAAACCAAGGCTAGATCTTGCTTTTCCTGTGGGGAGAGTTTCAGATCTCAGCAGATGTATAGGGTGTCTGTGCATGGTAGGACAGGGAATAACCCCTGCTTTTAAGCATATTTAATTTACTTGTATTTCTGAGATTTTTCTCTTTGAACACAGGAATTGACAAGCTCACGGAGAAGTCACAGGTGTCAGAGGATGGGACCATGCGTTCACTGGAGCCAGACTCTTCACAGTCTCCACCAGAGGGTAACCCCCCCTCAGCTGTGAGCGATGGGGAGCCCTGGAGTGGGGTAAGGCCAGACATTCTGGTGTGTAGGGAAGGTTTAGGCTGTGAAATGATCTAAAATGGGGGACTTAGGAGAGGTCTGGTTGGCCCACTGAAGAAGGGCATCATATTAGAGGCAATATGCACATGCACACTGTGCTGGAAAACACTGTGGTTCAGAAGTACTGTTGCATCACCTTGGGTGTTTCACGTTTGTGCTAGTGACACAAGAGCTAGGACACTAGAGGAGTGAGCTTTCTCCACCTTGAAAGCAACTGATAGAGCAGCAAGTGCGTAATTGCAAAGGGATGTATTCCTGATCCAGAGGCTTTCAACTCAGGTTCTCACGGCTGCTTCTTTTTACTCTCCCTTTTCTCTGGAATGGATAGAGCTCTACCAGAATCTTCTGGCTAGCTGGTGTTGTGAACAATGTGTTCCCTTGAGGGCTTGGCTGAGATACTGCCCTGAGTGGTGGCTGCTTGGCCGTGTAGATGAGACAGAAGCTTTGAGGTCTGTGAATCAAGGCTGCACTGGTTTCCTAGGCTGGTGGCAATGTCAGCCTTCTGGCGTTTGCTAGTTTTCCCTATCAAGAGCTATAAACCAGCTACCTTCTAATTTCAGTGGAGCAGTAGTCTCTTATTACTCTCTGTTAACTCCTCAGTCTGTGTCCTTTCCTGTCCAGTATCAAAAACCTCTGGGCTGCCTTGTAGGAAGTGTGTTACAAGGGCTGTCCTGAATGTCCTCTCTTCCTTCAGCAAGGCCATGTTTATACACCTGGTGCTGCCTCACGTTCTGTCTGAGCATTCGCTGTCCACTGAGCTGTTTCACTGAAGAGAGAACCTTACATCCATTTGCACAGGGAGACATGGCTGCCCCATGGTGAAAGGCATAACTTTCCCAGCTTTTCCTCTCTCTGTTTTCTCTGGAATGGCCAAATTGACACACCAGCTCTCACCAGGTGTGGAGCAAACTGGGCAGGAGGTGATGAGTTGGGATGGTGCAGTTTATCATGGGCTGCTATGAACTGAGGTGGTGCTACAAGAATCTTTCAGTCAGTTGCTCTCAGCATTCTCTTGGCTGAGACAGTACTGCAGAATTGGGGTCCAAATGGAGGGAGTTTGCAAAGGCATCGCGATCTAGCGGAGCAGGCTGAAGACCTCCAATATCATACCCTTATCCTCTCCGCTTGTTCTCCTTGTGTGTGTGCTCATGTTGGCCTTTGGCAACTGCCCATCTGAAACCATTAGCTGCTCTGCCTGGCTGCAGCAATTCCATTTGCATGTCTGAATGTTTGTGGGGTGGGGGCCAAAAAGCAGATGGGAGGTGAAGGGCAGTAAAGCAAGGGGTGTGGGATATGCTGTGAGGAGAATCATTGCTGCTGTGGTGTGGTGTTTCAGGTAGCACACACCCATCTCCAGGGACTGTGGTGTGTCAGACTATCTGAACATTTTCTTCTTTCTGTGCTCCAGCCTGGTTCCAACCTGCTGAGTTAAGATAAATTAATAAGAGATACTGGGTACATCTTAGGATACCCACCCTTATGACTGATTTAATTTCCTTCCTTTATCTGTTGCAATGTTCTCCCTTTATCAGTCATAATCATTTCAAAAGTGTCTCGTGAAATGTTCAACAGCCTTCATATGTCAGTGTAATTCCATCTTACCTTTCCTAAATGTGTCAGCTGGCTGCTGCCATTTGGATGGCAGCTGTGAGGGGGCAAGGGTTGTGGGAGTGAGGAGGAAAGAGGAAGAGGGTGGGATCATCTGAAGGAAATCAGCATTCATTTGTGTTTTTATGAATTCTATTTTTAGAAGCTTGATGAGGACACGACACTGAATCTGAACAGGCTGAACGATAAGGTTGTAGCTACAAACATTGCAAAATAGTATTGCTGTTTAGGTTTTGAATAAACTGGAATGAACAGAATTTCAAAATATCCCAGGACCAGTTTTGCTTACCCTTCCTGGCCTTCCCTTGTACCAGATGAAGGCCCATGGTCAGCAAGATGTCTTAAGCACGCAACTAATTATGTAGTCATTAAGTGAGATCTTGGCTGAGAATTTGCAGAAGAAAGGTTTTCTTCTTTCAGCAGCCCATGAAACATAATTATGGGTCATTACAGCTCTGTGTCCAGCAGCTGGCTTGAGCTGTTCCCCAGTCAGAAAAGGACTGGTACAGCACTGTTGGCTTCCAGTGGATTGCAGCACAGCTCTGCCCCAAGCTTACTGTTTCTGGTTGCAAAGGTGACGTGTGAATGAGTCTGTGCATGTGGAGATGCAGGATGCCTGTTGGAAGGAAGTGCTGTTCCCATTTGTTTAATAGAAAAGTCAGCTCTAGGCTGTAGTAATGAATGGTCAGGGTGCATTGCAAAAGGAAAAAGCCTCTCCATCTTTACCTCATGGGGAGTTTGATAGCAATTTTTAAAGGATTATTTGTTTTCTTTCCACCACAAATATGGAAAGCCAGGGTGTTAGTAATGTCTTCTGTATACGAGAAATGAAAATGGTGATGGTGAGAAGAATAAGAGAGAATTGGGTCTTGGACTTTTGACCAGAGCTTTCCAGAAAGTGACTGGTGATGGTGTTTGTGTTTGAGGGTGTGAGTGTGTTGTTCCTTAAGGGGCAGAGGTTGTTAGGTAGGAGTTGCTGAGAGCCCACCCTTGGCTAAAACACTCTTTAAGATGTTCCACAATGGACACCAAAAATCGCAATCAGTAGACAGAGGTCTGAAAAGCTGTGGCCTTTAGTTGTTTAGTCTTTGTGCTAAAAGAAAGCAGCATACTTGAACAGTCTTTTGTCAGTCCTGTTTTACTCTCCCACTGTGGATTGTTCCAACAATGTGTCAGCAGTGATAGCTGGAGCTGTGACCTTGCCACAGGGTCCTACAACTTAACCTCATCAAATATTGCCACTCACTGGGTTGAAGCATATGGGTTTTGGTGAATTGAAGGTCTGGTGGGTTTCATCTGTTCTAGGGACAGGCTGAGCTGTCTTTCTCATCAGTGCTCTGGAAGAACTGGGGGGGAAATCAGCAGAAAATGGGTTCTATTTCTTGTTTTTAAGTGTGATTTGCTTTTGTTTGTTTCTTTGTGTTTTGTTTTTTAAAAAAATATTATTTATTGATAGGAGGCATCACATCCCCAACGGGATCGAAGGCGTCTCTCTAGTGCATCCTCCAGTGGACAGTGGACCCCAACTCCTGACTGGGTAAGGGAATCCGGACAGAGGAAACAAATAATGAGGAAAAGAGTTGTGACAGAAATGCCACACACCCACCCCCTTCCCCCACCAACAGAGACTCCCCCAGAGGAGCATTTCCTCACAGGGAATGTCTTTGACAAAGTTCCAGAAATTTGCTACTATCTGCAAATAAGTATTTTGTTTTACTTGTTTTAAACCAATGACTTGCTAGTTTCATTGTGTGGCTCATAATTTTAGAGCTCCAGGATTTATTGTATTGCTGTTGTGCACTCAGTTCATCCACCATCTTTGTGATTTTTGTAAACCTCATTTGTTGTAGATAGAGTGGAGATAACTGTAGAAAAACTACTAATGCGTTGTGCTGATTTCCCTGTGGGCTTTCCTACTTCCAGGTGATGTCTTGGAAGTCAAAGCTTCCCCTGCAGACAATCATGCGGCTCTTACAGGTGCTGGTCCCTCAGGTGGAGAAGATCTGCATTGACAAGTAAGTACAATTTTCTTGGAGAGGGCTATGCAGTGTGTACAGAGCAATGTGCGGCTGGCAGTTTGAATTTGGAGGGCCTCTAGGAGAAACCTTGTAAAGTATAATTGAAAGCATCATGGTCTTAGCAGTGAAGATGTTATTTTGCTTGCCAAGCTTCTTGTTTGTCAGATCCCTTCTCAGCTCTTTTTTTTTTTTTTAACAGCAGAGTGAGTGTGTTTTTGGTGGCCACAGCTGCTGGCTCTGTGCTTGTTTAGAGTGATACTTTGTGCTGCAGCAGTTCTGGGGGTGTCTGTGGGACATGCTAAGGATGTTCCTGATCTGTGTCTCTGCAGGGGTCTCACTGATGAATCAGAGATCCTCAAATTCTTGCAGCATGGCACACTGGTGGGGCTGCTACCTGTACCTCACCCCATCCTCATTCGCAAGTACCAGGCTAATTCGGGCACTGCCATGTGGTTCCGGACCTACATGTGGGGAGTTATTTATTTGAGGTAAACCAGCAGGGTGCAGTCTAACTTGGTCTTTTTCCAGATTTTGGGGGGGTGCCTGGAGAGAGAATTGCATGCACTTGGTTAGTTCTGGGTTGTCTCATTTACAGGATAGAAAGATGATGTTCCCTTGGAAGAGACTAGGGTGAATCAGCTCATCTAAAACTTTGAGTGGGTGACATGAAGGGGGGTTGTTCTGGGAGTACTGCTTGTTTGGGACCTGGCAACAGCAGGGAACAGAAAAGCTGCCTGGAGAGGGGATGGTGCAGGGATTTCATGCAAAACTCTGGCTTTGTGGGATGTTGTAGATACTGTCATCCCTTTCATGTGCATTGTCTCTCAAGTAGTGATTTCCTCTTTTGCAAAGTTGAAGGCATTCTGTGTAGCCAGTTCCTTTAATTTTGACAGTGACATTTGAATTCCATGTACCTGGCCACAGAAAGTAAAGTGGCTCTCTTCTTTCTCTCTCAGGAATGTGGATCCCCCTATCTGGTATGACACAGACGTGAAGCTGTTTGAAATTCAACGGGTCTAAGAGAGCACTTACCTCTACCAAGAGAAATACACTGGATCTAAGGACTGCTGTGTGCTGCTTCATCACAGCTATTCCTGCATTTCACATCCAGCTGAGAGACCAAAAGGACAATCACTTCATTTACCTCCCTGTCATTTAAAGCTTTAATTGGGACCTGCTTTGACATCCCTCCCCTCAGCTCACTTCTCTTCCCTCACCCTTCACCCTGAACCTTGAGTGAAAGATGTCTAAGGGATTGTCTATTGTTGTGGTTGCACTAGAAATCAGACCGTTCTTAGCTCTTCTGTTACTCTTTTGCTCCTGGATGTGGTTTGGAAACCAATCTGACCCTGTCCTTGCCCTGGTCAGAGTCAGCTCTTAATTGAAAAAGACTAGCTGTAAATTGGGTGCAAGGGAGAAGCTGCTATTCCTGCAGGAGATGGGGTTTGGAAACTGCAGTTGCTTTCCCGTGGCTCCATAAAGTTTCCGGGGCATCCCTTCTGGCTGCAGGTGTCTCCCTGGTGTCCCAGTTGCGTATTGGTAGGGAAGTCTTTCCCATCCACATGAAAGGAGAAGTTGCTGAAGGAAAACCTTGTGTCTCAGTTCTGAATCTCTCTACTCCTTTCCTGGAAAGCTGCTTAATAATTTTTGTAGTAGCTAGTGCTTTGGTGTGGCATGAGAAGTTTTTCTTGGCTTCCAGGCCTGGCAGCCTGTCCTTCATGGTGGGCTGTTGCAATGGAGTGTGTGTCACTTTGGAAATCTCCACTTAATCCCATGAGCACACAGGGAGGAAGGGACTGGCTCAGTGAGAGCAAGGAAAAGAGATGTGACTGTTAAACTCTGTCTTCTCCCCTTGACTGAAAGGACAGTGTCATCTGGGTTTGAAAGGAACCATATCCTTCCATCATCGCTTGGCAGGCTGATGCAATGCAGGGAGTGGAAGGGTCTTTTGCACACTACTGTCTAAGGCAGGGGATCGAGGGAGGCACTCAGGGAAGTTGAAGGAGGAATTTGGAAGTTGTAGGAGGAAAAGCATCTCCATGTCAGTAGGGAGTGGAGACTGCTGAGGCAAAGTTCAATTCTTCAGGGCATTTTGCTAGTGACCAGGTCATCAGATCTTGAATGTATTAGGTCCCAAGCATGCAGAGTGTGGGAAGCCAGAATTAGAATTTGTGGGAGACCCACTGTTGCTGGCTTGCTTCAGCAGCATGGGGTTGCACATTGGTAGGTGAAGGCATCCTGGGGTTTGAGTCAGATATTGTGTTCTGCTGGGAGGGGCTGCTGTCTTAGAGCTGTGTGGTCTTTAGACAAGGAAATGTGAGGGGTCCTGTTATGAATGGAGACCCTTCCCTCTCCATCTAAGCTTAGTCCTTGGTGTTCTGGTATTCAGGCTTGTGGGAGGATCACTGGCCATGAGCTGTTTCTCACAGCCTAGAACCAGTGAGATCATTCCATGGAAACTGGTCTTGTATGTTAAAGTAAGGGGACAGGTATGGCACACACTTCTGTGTCTTGTAACGCTCGCCTAAGTTTTTAAGCTAGAGTGATAGCAACGTGACCATCCTCTCCTAGAGAGAGTGCTGCTCTAGTGTACTGCTGGCTTGTATTTGGGTGGCTTCCTCCTTTGGGCACTCAAAGTGGACTGGAGTCCCAGGCCAGTAGAAAGTGGAAATAAAACCTGAATGGTTTTCTGAAGGATAGGAGATATATGAAACAGAGAGAGGTTCTTCCCCCACCTGCTTCCCATCTCCAGCTCAGTTTGCCATCTAGCACTACTCCCATCCAGACCCTATCTCTTTTCAGATGTAAACAGGGTGAGGTCTCTGTTTTACTTGGAATCTCTCTCGTATATAAGAATGTGATTTGGTGGGGCCAGCCTCTGATTGTATGGCACTTGTACCTCACAGCTGGAATGGGGCATGCTGTGTCCCACATGCTTGCCTCTTCCCTCCCATGGATCTGCTGGTTCTCATGATCTCTTCTGTCCTCTCTTTTCTGCTTTGTTTCTTTGTGAGTTCTTCTGGAAACCTTTTTGTTTGTTTCTTGGTGTTTGGAGTCTGATCCTTGTTCCGTGGAAATCAACTTGCACTGTAAACTATTTGCTTACTTACAGAAAGAAAGATAAAGATTATCTGAAACATGCAGTTGGTTGCTTATTTTTTTTCCCAGACACAGGTTTATAATCTTGTTTGTCTTATGCTGGGGTGATTTGTGCTACTAGGACACAGCGTGCTGGCTTCCTCCACAGTGTGTGGATTTTTTTTTTTTATAATCAGAAATTAAGAATGGACTCTGGAAAATTAACCTGAACTGTATGTTTTTTTGCCATTTCTGTATTTATGGCATGAGACATCATCAAAGGTATCTGCCTCAAAGGATACAGAAAAGGAACTAGGTCAAACAGGATCAAGTCTCCTGGCTTTGTGGACCGTGTACTAAAACTTTTGTGCAGTTGAGACCAGTGAAACAGGCACTCTGGCCCTGGGAGAGCTCGAAGTCATTCACGGATGGCAGATGACAGAAGATGATGGAGCAGATGGCAGATGGGCCACTGACATGTCATGGCTGTGTTGGATTCAGGAGTCACAGCTAGCTCACTTCTCACTACGCTTTCAGATTACTGTGCCCAGCCCTGCTGTCAGTCTAGTGAAGGAGCTGAAGGCAGTTTTAATTGCATACAAACTGTGTGTTTATGGTTTTACCCCTCCTGGAGGTGGACACAAATGGGTCTAGAGATAAAACCCTCCTAAATGAAAAGGCTGAAACCTTGGATCCTACATTACTCTTTGGCCTGCAAGAGTGCTTTTACTGTTGACTGTGGGATTTCTTACCTTCGCCTGCAGTGTTAGAACTGGGTGTTGCTAGGAAAGGATGTAGAAGTCCTCGAGCACTTACCTGATCTGTAGTGGCTGTGGGCTTGGTTCCCATTCCTGTTAATCATGAATTCAGGTGGTCCATCTGTTTACCAGCAAGAAATCACAAGCTGATTTCTCTTTCAATCCATACTTCTACATAATACTTATGGGACTTAGTATTTATATCTCAGTGAGAGACCTCCAAAGTCACGTGCTCAGTGGAGGCTCAGTAGTTTAAACAGTGTTTTATCGATTACACTGCAGATAAAATCCAGGTCATGGGTTTGTCCATGAAGTCCATCATTGCTCATCTCCAGGCTGTCGATAACTAGGAAGAAGATTGGAGATCACCTTCATCATTTGAAAAGGCCAGACCATTGCCTGTATCTCCTGTACGAACTGTGACGTGAGAATAATAATTAACTTTATTGGAACCTAATTTATCCAGCTGTTATTTCTCATGACATATTTCTGTTGACACAGGCCTAAGTAAAAACACTTACTGGGCAAAGTTCATGCTCGTGCAATCATGCTCACTTACAGTTTCACAGAAAGGTTCTGTCATTGCCTGAATCCTAAGGGGAGTGGGATGTGTTAGTTAGGAGTTACTAGCTCTTATCATTGTTACTGTCTTGGGAGAGTTTGCTTTCCTACAGGATCACAACCCGCAGCCATAAATAGGCTCTGATTCTAAACCCACGCTGCTTCTGGGATTGATTTATATGGGTACAGAAGCAATAGTGTAGATACCTTTTGTATCATGCTATTTTGCCTTGGCTAAGAGTCATGAGAGATTTTGATTGATTGTAAAACAAGGCCTGCCCTTAAATATCATATAACCTCTGAATGCAAAAGTGGTGTAAGTCACTGTCAGTTGACTTCTAGTCTGGTCTTTGAGTGTAGAGCAGATCCAGAGATTTCACAAGATAAGCATGAAAATTCAATTTATTTCCATTCATCAGGCTCTGTATTTGGGACCCATACTTGCAAGCCCCCTCGCTCTCCCACGTGCTTTCAAAGCAAGCATCTCCTATGGGACAAGTACTAACGGGTCTTTGATCACACACCACGCTGTGCAACCGTGTCCCCTTACACACGGTGTGCCTTGTGAAATGTTTGTGGATGTGCAAAGCAGCAGCGAGGATCAAAGTGTTGGGTTAGAGCAGGATTCACAGTAGATTTGGCATTAGCTCTTTCTTGAACTAGCTGTGTGTGCAAGGGTGGGACCTTTGCTAGTACACACTGGTGATAACATCATGCACAAGTGGTGTCAAGTAAGGATCAGCCATAGTACTTCTCTAGTGCTTCTCGCTTGAGGCTCTGTGGGTGTTTGTAAGGAGAAATAGTGTTTATTCTCAGTAAGGTTATTGCTTCTATTTTTGATAATGGGAAAAGATGCACTGAACTGGTGCAGGTCTGAAGGCCTGTCCTGCTCTTCAGTGCTGAGAGCCACAAAAGCTTGGCACTCGATGGGGCTGGATCCTATTGGCACCAGAAACAAACAGAAATAATCCCTGTTCTGACCGTTAAAGCGGCTACCAGCATCTTTTTGAAAATTGCACGTAAAGCGTACGTTTGGTTCGTTTCTGAACGGCTGTGGCTGTATGTGCTTCTAGTGGGGCTGGTACTGGTGGGTGTCTTCTGTGCTGCAGGATGGTGGGTTGGTGAGCAGTGGTGGGGCTGGTGGTCCTTGACTGTGGATTTCTGAAGGTCTGTGGAGTGTGGGTCAACCTTTGTTGCTTTTGTTGAAGGCTGCTCTTGCGTTCTTTTATCTGGAAGATTTCAGTAGGAGCTGGTAAAGTCCCACTTGCTGCCATGGGACATCCACTGGCAGACTACTGAAAAGCACCGGCATGCACGCTTCCTTAGAGCAGTAAGACAGCTTGCTTATGGGCTTTGAGTCTGCGGAGAGAAAACGGTAATATAAACCAATCTCCTTTTCTTCTGAAACTCAGATGTCGTGCAAAGCAGAATCTGGAGGGGAAAAAGCTTAAAAGCTTCCATGTACATATCTGCTGCTTACTGCATCTTTGTTCAGCATCGTTGTTTCACCCCTGGCTCTGGGGTGGGCAGTCAGCTTGGTTCAGGCTGTGATGTAGACCTCCAGCAGCCCCCCGACGGAGTGCATTCTGTAGAACACGCCCAGCGGGAGGCCAAAGTTCACGATCACAAACCAGGTAGAGTAGCCGTAAAATGACTTTTCCAATCCATTCTCGAAGACAGGGTGAGCCCCAAATGTGGGCATGACCCACAGCTAAAGAGGTGTAAGGAAGAGAGAGCAGAAGTCAGAGGATGACAAACTGTCTCCTACCTGCACTCTAAACTCAGCACTGGCTCAAGTGGTTGTAGGAATATTTCAAGACTATCAGAGGAGTCTCCCTGCCAGCAAAGAGGAAGAAAATCCCCTAGTTATGCTGCGGACTCTTTGCCAGAAGTCAAACCCTGTCAAATTCCTGGAAACCTGATGATAGCCTCATTCTGCCCCAGCCAGCTTCATCCTGCTACAGAATTTCACTGTTTTCTTGGCCAATTTGTTTTCACTGGATTAAGGCTGCTGTGAAGATCCATGTTAATTTAAGATCCCAGAGCACGGTGTAATTTATTGGGTGGGTTTCAATCCTAGAGACTCATGTTTACAAAGATTCACTGCTGGTGCCTCATGTTTCTCCATCTGTCTCGTGAAACACCCTTGATGAGTTTGATAACTTGCAGAGGCTAAAATTTTGGCATGTAAGGTTTTGTTAGCTGTCTCCTTCCTGCACCCAGGATAACTAGCCATATTTGACTCTTACATTAAGAGAGACCTCATAATCATGAGTGGGGTATTAATAACAAAACCAGTCATGACTTGCCTCACCAGTAGATTGAAACTTGGTGGACAAAGTTTTCTTGTCTGGAATAGCAGCCCAAGAGAATGACAAGGGGAGCGCATCTGTGTCACGGGTCATCAAGGTTCAGCAAAGCTGTGATGTAGCAGAGAGAGCAATACTTACTATGATGTTGCACAAAACCAAGAAGAACGAGATCTCCCTTAATGCTTTTCTCTTCCAACTCAGGTGAGAGTAGCTATGGATATAGGACAGAGAAGCTTTCCGGATCTCCTGCCCCAGCTCCAGCATGCTCACTCGTCTCTGGTTGTAGGCTTCATAATTCTGCTCTTCTTTCATTTCTTCTTCTCTGCCAGGAGCTATCTGTGTGTGCTCCTGTTTGCTGCTTGTCGTGGTTTCCTCTTCATCAGGTAGCTCTGAAGCTGCTGCATGCTGCTCGGCATGTTCTGTGTGTCTGGCCTCAGCTGCTGCTACAAAGGGCTGCCGGTGAAGCCCATCAATGATGAAGACATTTTGGGTGATGTTCTGAAAGATGAGGAGGACAGAATAGGACAGGATGAGACTGTTCAACAGGTCCCTGGGGTCAGTGGCCACAAGGGCAACAATGGAGAAGTAGGACATGCCGATTTGGCCGAGGGCTGCCCCCATCAGCAGGATCACATCCAGGCTGCGGGTTGGGTTCTTCAGCGTGTCCAGCTCCCGTTTTTCCAAGGCGTGGATGATTGTCCCAATCACTGCGCCCACGCTCATCAGGGGCAGGAGCACAATGTAGTAGGAATAATACATCACGAAGACCTCGCGGCTGGGGGCTGAGCCGGTGGCCTGGATCTGGTACATCATGAAGACGCAGATCCCGATGATCACAGCAGCGGCGCCCAGCAGTGGCCCAAAGACCACCCCCTGGAGCTTGAACTTGGGCTTGATGTGAGGGACATGGTGGTGGCTGATGCGTCTCCCCACGTTTTTCCACATGACGTACAGCACGGAGCAGCAGACAAGGCAGTACTCAGTGTTGAAGGGGTAGAGCAGGATGTAGCCCTTCTGGAAGACTTTGCAGATGGTTGTGTTTGGGCATATGCACGACGTAGTCTCGTTGCCTGGAGCATGAGAAGAGGAAGACAACAATTAAGAGGGAGATGGCCTGGATTTCATGGCTATCTTTGGGAGTTTCTTGTGTGCAGGCACAACGTCTCTCTCTATCTCAGAAACAGTGATCAGTAGGAAGTTAAGTGATTACCACTCAGTCCTCGAGGCTGTGAGGATTCAAAACAACAGGGTTTAGCAAATGACTTCTCCCAAATACATAGAGCTTCTTCTGGTCAACACTGTAAGTGGTGGATGAAACACCCCTTCTTCCACAGTGAAGCCTCTATCTCTACCCTTGGAATATTAGTTTCCTCTTTTTCCCCATATCAGAGAGAAAATCACAGCACAGGAATTCTGGCAATCTTTTGTTTGCAG